CCGCCACCGCCACCACCGCCACCAACTCTGGCAAGAAAACACTTCTACTAATATTTCTGCTACTACTTCTTCTACTACTGCTACCACTACTGTTACTACTGCTGCCAATGCCTTTACTGCAACTACTGGTACTAGTAGTACTGCTGTCATCACTGCTGCCGCTCCCGCTGCTGCTTCTTGCAGGTGCCACCAACAATGCTAGCTGCTAGCAGGTAACACAACATGCTGGTGCTTGCGCCAACCCTCGGACCAAGATTAGAGTAACAGTAATTGTTGCTGTTCTTGCCAATGTTGTAATTGTAATTGTCGTCATGAAAGTAATGGTAGTTGTTGCAGGAATAGATTTTGAAGAAGTAGTAGTGAAGCACTGCCAGTAGCAGTGTCAGATGCACTGGGAACACTCTTGCGAATCTTGAAGTTGCTACTACGACCAATGCTACGAATCGTACCAGTACAAAACCTCGCCAAAACAGCTTTATCAGTACTAGATTGCCATGGTAGTGTTGGCTACGGTTGCGATACTGGTGGTACTGAACTCGTCGTATCTGCTAATGTGCTATAGTAATGATAGAATTAGGCATACTGATAATAAAGCAGCAATAAGCAGCCATAGCAATACTCACACTGACCATACTTATGATGATGGAAAGTGATGAAGGCAATAGCCCCTCATTTGTAATGGCAACGCTCGTTCAACTAACTTTGAAAGCTAGTCTTGCCTGCGGGGCGACAAGAGTGGCGGCGCTCAGCGCTGCTGCTGTTTCGGAGGACAAAGTTGGGGCCTTATTGAAAGGCTGGACTGCCGCCAGAACTGTGCAACTCTCCAGGCCTTCGTGGCTGAATCCTTCGCACAAATAAGTCCAAACCTCCCTTACGCTCATGCTGCCTGAGCAATTGAAGGAGATCGTGGCTGATCCTTTCACGCAACTCTGTATGGGATAAGCCTTCCCCAGAAGTGTGCGAGGAGCTCGGTCAGGCTCGGAGGCTGGTGAGGTTTCTAAGGAAAGAGATGGAACGAGCAAAGCGCGATATCTTCAGCATCTACTCTGCGCCTAGTCAGCGCCCGAAAGAACGAAGGGGCAACACATGTTGACGAAAAGTTGACGGGAAAAACATGAAGTCTGTCAAGCCTTTGTGGGACAGTCAGTCCGACATCTAAGGATGCTTTGCTGGTAAACGCAACTCGCAGTTCACATCTGTAAAGAACCCATTGATGAGAAAGACTTGAAGGTTAGAACCGCTGGCGCTTTAATCCTGTATGTCTGCAAGGCCATCGTTGGACACTGGCATTAACTGCCCGCTGCAGTCACACACACGGAAATCTTTTGTTGACATTGTTCTTTGTAAACGTCGGCTGCGGGTTTCGTTGAGCTTTCACTTAGGAATTACCGGCTGCCTGGCACAACTTGCATACAATCAACATAAACGTAACCTCCATGTCCGGGAAAGAGAACAGGTTGCGTCTAGGTCGACTGCTAAAGCAACCGACGCAGCTAAGCCTGCGGCGGAGACTGCCGGAGAGCTACGAGGAGATGGCACAAATGCGCTGAAGAGAGCTCCGCAGGCGAGGAGAACTGCACCGGTCAGCACAAAGGAGCGGGCCATGTCTCTTGCTCAGTTGTCACCTCTGAAAGCTAAGCGGGTCGTTCGAATGGCAAGTTGCCCCAGCTTGAGCCAGCACGCGTCCATGTCACATGTCACCATGTCTACCATCTTCAACTCGGAACTTGAATGGTTCCAAGACAGAGGACGTGCTTGTGACACGTTAGAAGGCACGACGACTACTACATGGCTCGTGTTCACGCCTTCGCATATAGGTGTGACAGCGGAGTCCCGTTTGCCTGACAAACATAACGGGAATCATGGACAAAACTGCATGAGGCCTGTCTTCAAGCCCACCTGAACACTCATGCAGCAGTAACAGAATTGCAGGCCTTGTATTTGGCAATGAACTCCGGAACCTTGGACAAGAGCTTCCTGGCGTCATGATGCTGCATGTGGACTTGATTCAGTTCGTCTACCTCTTGAAAGCCAAAATCAAGCGAGGCTGGCGGATTCTTCCGCCGGTAAACTGCCTCAATGTTGACCTTCCACAAGGTCTCCGCATCCTTCACCTCGATGGTGGCGTTGTCACCGTCACCCTTTTCAGACGCCTTCACAGACGCCTTTTCCATCTCTGATTCTTGGCCATCCTCCTCGGTAGATTCCTCAGAATCCCTGGCGGCTGAGATGGCCCTGCGCTTCGACGGAACACCCTCGCTTGCTTCTCGGAAGGGCTCCTTGCTGTGGCCTAGGCTTTTGAGGCATGAACAGGCACCAGTTGATTAACAGAAGGCCCACAGTGTCTGGGAACAGATAAACTATAGACAGAGTGGATCAGCAAGTCCTTGGCCCGACATACATCAACTGTGGGCGCTTCGCGTAAGTCACTGGCTGGGCTTTGCCGGGCGCGAAAACACCGATCCTCTGCATGATGTCTACAAGTACTCGTGTTTTAAGCATACTCTCCCAGTTTACACAAACACCAGCCACAAATGATAGCATCTCTCTTTTTTTTGTGCATAATTTTCGTCGAATTGGTGAGCTGCAAAATTTGTTCAACTAGTCCTCACCTTGTAACACAGATCTTTGCAGGCCAGCGTCGTCCAAAAATGTCGGGCTTGGGCGGCGCCAGCAACCTGCCATGAACAAGCACTCTTTTCAAGCCCTGAACCGCAGCATGAACCTCCTCATGGTCCTTATGCTTTGGTTACATGACGTCATCGTCTCATGCCATGTGTGCGTGACACTTGATGTTAATGAAAAGGTCAGGAAAGCATGCCCGGTGAGGCGGCTTGGAGTGCCAGGAGCCTGTCCGTTGGCGCTTCGCCGCGATAACGGGCCACTCCCTGTCAGGTGCTTGGGGGTTGCTCCACTTGCAACAGCATGAAGCAGGTGCCCATATGAGCCATATCAACTGAACCACAAGGACTGCCAGGAACCATCCTTCAGTTTCAGCAGAGCAAAAGAGAGTAAAAGTAGCAGGCACAGCAACACCCGCCTCACTCGCTTTGCTCCACAAGCCTCCTGGGCAGAAACGTGGGGCCCTCCTTCCTTCTTGCACTCCACTGACAGCTGACACTCCTACAATCAGAGACATCCTGACACTGAGATCATCAGAAGAGGAGATGCAATTGAGGCCACCACGATACTGCTGCCTTCAGCGGAGTTGTTGCATTGAGCTTAGCAGCGTACCACTCATGTGCCCTCATGAAATGGATTGAGCATTTATCCCAGGCTTGTCTTTTGGCGCTCTGTAGTCTCCCTTGCTCCAGCTTTTCGCAAATAGAGCCTTGCCTGAAGTTGCAAGGCAACTGTTGCTTAGCTAGATGCGCTTCAGTAGTTTCCGTTTGGCCAGCTATTGACGTTAATCTGAACTAAGCAACTTTAGAAGAGCACTCAACTCAACCAAAACCGAGCAAATCACTGGACCTTGAGCAACTAATGGTGTAACTACTACTCCTTGTACACACGATCATTGCTGGCATGGCTGCAGCTACCTGTACAGCCGCTGCTGTTGGTGCTGCTGCTCATCATCGCCACCATCATGATCGCCATCTTGTTCTTCAAAATTCATAGTCATCATCATAATCATCCTCATAATCATCCTCATCATCATATCATCATCAACATCATCAAGCTGCGACTGCTGCTCCTGGCTGCTTCATTTGTTCTACTTACTTCTGCTTCCAAAGCATTGCAGTGGTCGTCATAATGACAGTGGCGCTGTCGCTGCTCCTCCGCCCTTGCTCCCAGGACTGCAACCACATGTGCTACGTCCAATTTGCTCTAGCAGCGCTTCAATGGTACAGGCACGGCGGAGAGACTACGTCGATCTAGCAGTGACCTACGTGATGCTGTACAAGAGCGCCGGCATGAGCTCGCCTGCAAATCAAAAACTGTTGGGATGCCAGCCTGAATGTCTGTTTCTTCCATCACCCCAATCGATTCAACTCTCTAAGCCCCGGGCCACTGAAGACAGCATCGGCAAGGCCGAGAGACTTCAGAGGTCGCGCAAGCCTCATACATGCAATGACAGAAGCCCTACTCAGAGCATTAGGTTTGAGGACTCTCTATTGCTCAACCTGGTGGGCATGGGTTGCTCAGGTAGATGACAGAAGAAGAGCTCTTATGTGACCTTGTGTATGCTGCGGAAATAGGAGGTTCATTCATGTCCTTCAAACCATGTCTGAAAGGAATCTCATGATGAGTCTTCCATGTCTGGCTGCAGAATGTACAGAGAGAAAAGCAATGAGAAATTTCAGCTGCTTGTAGCAAACGGTGGCTCTTGGCCTGTGAAAAGTTGCGGGCTTCGGAGAAGGTGGCTTCGTTGAGAGGTTTGAACGGGACCGCCATGTGACGTATCTAAACATGCCAGCATGTCCACGACTCACCCGGCAGCGGCGTCCATGGCTGCCTCAGTGGACGTCTACCTACTACGGAACGAAACCGGTCAGTCACACCTGGTGTTGCAGCTATACCTCATGCCAGCGGAGGTCATCTGCCACTGGCGGACCTAAAGCGGCTCTGCCAAATGAGTGCTGCACAGCTGCTGCCAGCGTGGGACACCCACCTCTCTTTTCAAGATGCAGCAACTCTGGACTTGCGTGAGGTTATAGGCTGCACCACCAACGGATACAAGCACAGAGGGCTCATCGAGCGTATCTAAGGAGACGGGCATCTTGCGTCAAACAATCCGAAGCAAAGAATGAAGCATTCAAAACTGTGAGATTTGATGTTTGGAATCGCCAGACGTCACCTGAAACTGCACTGCGCAGCTGCTACATAGGAAATTCCCAACCTCCACGTGAGCCGTCATCGGCGACATTAGCCAGTAGCTACAAGCGATCTCATGCTTGCTGCAAAGACTGCTGTTGTTGCTGCGCGCTGCAGCGTCTCTGCCACAAGTGGTGTTTGTGTGATTGCTGCAGTCATCTTCGTTGTTCTCATCATTGTTGGCGCTGCTTGTGTTGCAAGTGTTTTGTCAGAAGAGCACCCGACGGAACTGCCAACATAATGCGGCACTACTGGATACAAAGTCACCTACTGGCTTGCAAGTTACAAGCTTGGGAATGTGTCACTCAATGCAACAGCTGCTGAGAGCCGCTGCAAGTTCTTGCTTCCAGCTCATGTGCCAGACCCGTTGAGGTCTAAAGGCTCGTGGTGCAAACATATGCATGCTCCAGCTGGCTTTTTTGGACCAAGTCCTCCTTTTAGGAGATCTCTGCGAGAAACATGTTGCATGTTATTATGTACAATTGCCGTGCTCCTCTTGAGACGGCGTTAGCGGCGGGCCTGCCTCATAAATCAAGGCCTTTGCTCCTCTCTCTTTTCTGTATCTCTGTTCTCGGAGGCTGATGGTTCGCAGTTGTCAGGCAAAGGTCCTTGATACTGCGGCAAATTCCATCACCTTTGTCAGAAATGGACCGAACATCCGGGAATCGCCTGAAGAAACGATGCGCAGTCAACAGGCAAATGTTCCAACAGCGACCTACAAGATCTTCTAGCATTCACAAAAGCCTCGTCCAGAACCACGTCAAACCATGGCAGACTTGGGTCGGCGCCTGCCAACAATGAAGCGGTCAGTGTCTTCTAGAAAAAGCTGCAAAGCCGAAGAGATCTCTTGCAATGCTGTGGCCAATTAACCTGCACACAACATCGCCAATGCAAGGCGTTACCCCAGCTGAACTGTCTCGCAAGATGCTCAGGCTCTCAAGCGCCTCACATGCCTTCCCGGCCTTCCAGCTGGTGCAGAAGCAGACCGCCGCATCTTGCAGCAGTCGCTTTCCTGCAGCCAACGGGGCGCAGTCTCTCTCGGCCTGAAATCCCACACGAACCTCATCGTGCCATGCACCCTGCTTTCTGACATACTCGCCACGCAGGAGACCTTTACGTTACTCAGCCTCATTTGCGCGGGGACGCCCTGCTGCAGATCGCAGAGCCTGACAGGTATGGCATGTCAAGAGCTTCACAGTCTTCGCTGGCGTGGGCAAGTGCCCGTGCCCATGACTGAAACTCTTGGACTCTCGAATGCTGTCTTGGGCAAGTGCTCACATAACTCAAGCAAAACACTTGCGAGTAAATGTGGCCTGCTCCAGACTTTTTACGGAACCGCCCAAGGCAGTCCAAGCCCGCTGCTGCCTGAGGCGTCCAATCATGCAAGGATTCCCAAGTTTCCGAATCGCATCCACGAAAAGACCTGGCATTGCCTGTAAATCTAGACAACGTTCCTTTTGCTCGCTTATCGCCGAACAACATGATTCTGCCTGGCAACCAATCGCGCGGCGCTGCAGTCGTGGCGCAGCAGCATGAGTTGCTGCGACCCTGCCACCCAGAACGCATCGACAAACAACTCAATTTGCCCCCAATCCACTGAATATCACATGAGCTCCGCACCTACGTGTTGCAGTTTAGCACAACTCTTACCCAAGGCCGCAGCGCAATGATTGCTCCACCAACTTTGCTTCCTGGCATTCCAAACGCCTCGGTTACAACTAAGCAAAACTTCTAAGAGGGATGGATGATTCCTTGCATCGCTTTTAGCTCCTGACAGTGTTACTCCTGATCTCCACAAGCTGGGAGCCACGCTCTTCTAATCTTAGCTTCTCCAACGCATGCCTCTCCTGCCCGGCCAGTGAAGGTCACCATCGCACTCGGTTGAACATTTTGGCAAGGACGCATCCGTTCTCTTGCATAATGATTGCTTTGGGAGGCGCCTCCAGTCGGTCGGTCTCCTGGCCGCCCATTGTTGTCATGCATTGCATCACTCTCGCTAATCACTCGGTCCATGAAACAATAACCTGAGTCTCTAGTCGCTGCATGAAGCCGGGATTCTTGAAGACACACCCCGTCTCCAAAAATGTTGACTTCACATTAGTGACTAGACCCGCATTTATGAAATCCCGCCGCCGGAACA